CGAAGCAATAAAAACACATTTTAATTCTCAAATGAATTGGACTTTTTTTATTAAAATTAAAATTCATGAATAATTCAGAATAATTTCCTTCCGTATATGTAAATAATTATTTGCGTAACAAATCTAATCACTAATTAAATAAAAATAAAAAAATAAAAAGAACGTTAAATTCTATGTTGGTGTTACGAAAAAATATGAGGACGGCCATCCCATTTATAAGTTTCGAATTTAATGAAATTGACTATTGTTTTGACCTAAGTGGTATGATTTTTTTACTCTTTATGATAAAGAGGTGCAATCCAAATCAAACTTAACTTTAATAGATTTTGGTTCTTGCGTAGCACAGCATGTACAATAATAATAATAAAAAGAAAAAAGCTCCATGTTGTGAAAAAAGAAATTTTGGGTTAATACCATTGCTATATGTAGAGCATTTTTGGATTAGAACCATACCCATTTTTCATAGTAAAATATTGAGATATTTTTTTTAAATGTTTCAAAACAATAGTAAACCCTTTAAAATGCGGATCTTTTTTTCATCTTCTCAAAACATCATATTCACAACATGATCCGTTTCTATTGAAAAGCCCTCATATTATTACCTCTTAGAATATTTTTGATGGTCGTGTAACAATTATCCACCATTCAACAATAGAAGAAAACAAACATTAATACAATGTTAGAAATCTGTATTAATAATTCTTTTTAAAATGAATAAACAAAAGATCCTTATGTTCGTCCATTAATCTATTTTTTAAATATAAGTTAGTAACAATAATAATGATAGTCCAAAGACTTTAAAATAATCTAGTGCTTGAGCAATAATAGCCATTGTTTTCAAGATGTCATTGACCTATTGTATATTTACAAAGACACCTACCTATTTTTTAAAGATTGTTTCTTACTGATCCAAAAAGAAAACCACGAATAGAGAATACTTTTCCATTATCAGAAGGCTGCCATCAATATCAAGAAAATGGTCCTTAGTGTAAACCGTTTACTAAAGCACCTTTATTTAAAAGAGTAACAGGAATACAACGGGTTTTTGACATTAGGAATAAATTTAATATTGGTTCTTTTAAGATTTTAAATTTATATATTTATATTAAAATTTATAAAAGGATCGGCATTAATCAGTTCGAGATTCACCAAACATTTATACCTATCCATACAAGGGCACAAGTGTTGAGAACCAATTACTATTAAGCTCATAGAAAAACCATCTATAAGAACATCTAGAAAAAGTTACTATGTTCTGATAGGGTTATTATTATTATTACAAACGTTTTTAATTTGTCACAATTCTATGTTAAACCAAACCTTTTTATTATTATTATTATTCATTAATTATTCTTAATGGAGACATTAATGTTTAGTATGATGCTTTTGTTTCAATTACAATTTTAAAACACCATTAACCAATTTAAATAAAATATCAGGTTACAATTTATCCTATTCCTCTTCTAAAGGTTATTTTCACGCCGTTCTATTATTCTTGGAAATTGTCCTTTGTTACTATTGGATTAATTATCCTGTGTTGACCATTCCCGATTTATTTGCTGATAATATATACTAATATTAACTATGATGGAAAAATGCGAACTTTATATTTTTCATTACATATTTATTTATTGGAGTACAAATCAAATATATTTATTTGTGAACGATTGTCAAACTTCTGATTACCCAGAAATGACCTCAGAGAGAGGAGGTAATTCGTCACCATAAATATTCTTTTATTTCGTTTTTATTAGATAGTTTAATTATTATTACCAACTCTACCATTTTTCGTAAGAATCATCGAATTCTTATTATTTTTTTTTTTTTTGTTTATTCTGTGACCACATACAATTCAATTAATTACCTCATAGTAATAGAAGGAAAGCATTTAAAAAAAGCTACCAGTATTTATTTAGCCTGCTAAATTCAGATTGTTACTTAATGGGGAATCAAGCAATTTTTATCAATAATAGGAACATAAACGTATTGTGAAATTCCTATTCTTTAAATACAATAATAATAAATTATTTAAATAAAATTATGTAATTTTTTTTATCACGTTATATAATAACAAATAATGACGCTGACTAAGGGTATTAGTATAGAATATTCTGGGTACATTTTCAATCGATTATAAATATAAGATGTGAATATTTTAATAATTTTTAAAAAAATCTTTTTTTTCTAATAATTTTATAAAAGATACCTTTTTTTAAAACATTTTATAAAGATCTTTTTTTTCTAATTATTTTATAAAAATCTTTTAATAATTTTTAAAAAATTTTTTTCCTCCAAATTTTTTTAAAATCTTTAACAAAATTTTTTTTAAAAATGGTTTCTTCGGTTGAAAAAAGCCGACAACTTGAAATCACCGTTGTAAACAAATTGAGGGACGCGCGAATATACTGAGTGAGTGTCTTTCACAGTTATTTTGTCGAGTTTTTTTGATGATGATGACACATTATACTCATTATTATTGTTTATTGTTTATTGTTTATCTATTATACAGAGGGCCGGGCGACAAGGGAATTGATGTTAAAGGAGTTTCCTGCGGCGTCCCGTTTGTTGTACAATGTAAGAATTGGGCTCGAAAGAATATAGGTATTATATCAATTATATGTGAATCACATTAATTAAGAAAACTTTCAATTAATTAATATCAAACATTTGCAGGTCGCCCGGCAGTAAATGAATTGGAGGGAGTTCTCCTGAGGCAGACAAAGGAGACAATCGGCGTCGTGGTGGGCCGATCGAAGGAAGATGGTTTCACGCACGGTGCGTGGTATACATCTAAAGCGTCGATATTGTTCTCACGGATGTGGCTAATATTATAGAGGATTTGGCACTCATGGTCGCTGGTCGACTAGATGCCAAAGCCCTTAAATTATTTTTTGTTTTTTATTTTTTTTAATTTTTATGTATATAATTGTTTTTACTTCCTTGTATATATTTTAATCGTAAGTCTTCGTCCGTGGGAACACTATCATATATCGACGTTTTATCTGATTCTTTCCCCGCTCATTTCTTGTATATATATTTTTTTTTTATTTTTTGTACATATTTTTTATTTCTTGTATATATATATTTTTTATTTCTTGTATATATATATTTTTTATTTCTAGTATATATTTTTTTTATTTCTTGTACATATTTTTTATTTTGATTATATAAATGGTGCTTTATTAAAAAAACATCACATCGTAGTTACATGATACAAATACAAATAATTATTCCTTTGTATTTGGTATTTATATGGTCGATCACTCTACCCATGTAAAAAAAAAATCGTACGTATTAGAATTCAACGATCAATATTAGTCGTGTGACATTTCCCTGAGGCTGCTTTTTATTTTCTAGTGAAAATAAATTCGAAATTCGTGTCACATGAAGTTTTTTTAAAATATCTCGTTATTTTTTTATAATAAACTCGAAAATACACCATTAAAGCTTTCCAATGAAAATACTCTTTCATATCGAAAGGTCTCCACATGAATTCACGGCTATTCAAAAACGGTATTACTTTTTCACTTCAAAGCTCAGATTATTTCTCAATATCGCTTTAGAAGACTTGATAGTAAATGAGAAGGTGTAAAATACTTTAAGCTTTCATATGGTCATTACTTTATGGGGTATTGGTTAATAAGTTTTAGAGAGGTTCACGAAAAATTATTTTATAGAAATTTTAATAGTCATGAAGAATTTTATGTAGATGGGATTCAGCAAAAACTAAAAGGTGAATGTTTTATATTTCTGGCTTTATATTGATTAAAGTTTCATTAATGATTGTTATGAATACCCATCAATCATTAATTGATATAGAAACATTAAACAATAATATGCAAACGACGACAACGAACCATCTTTTTTGAGGATGATAATAAAGATTAAGATCCAGTTTGTATAGGTGTGATTGAAGTAAGCGTCAAGGACAAGATTTATGAACAAAACATACTAACGAACTTTTATCAATTATTCAATAGTTTGTGTAGGAGTGATTGAAGTAAGCATTAAGGACAAGATCTATGAACAAAATATACTAACAAACGTTTTATCAATTATTCAATAGTTTGTATAGGAGTGATCGAAGTAAGCATTAAGGACAAGATTTATGAACAAAACATACTAACAAACGTTTTATCAATTATTCAATAGTTGTATAGGAGTGGTTGAAATAAGCAATAAGGACAAGATCTATGAACAAAACATACTAACAAACGTTTTATCAACTATTCAATAGTTGTATAGGAGTGATCGAAGTAAGCATTAAGGACAAGATCTATGAACAAAACATACTAACGAACGTTTTATCAACTATTCAATAATTTGTGTAGGAGCGATCGAAGTAAGCATTAAGGACAAGATCTATGAACAAAACATACTAACAAATGTTTTATAAATTATTCAATAGTTGTATAGGAGTGATCGAAGTAAGCATTAAGGACAAGATTAGGGATGGGAATGGTTCGGTTCGGTTCAGTTTATAAACCGCCAGTTTGGCTAGTGAACCGCACCGACTGGTGGTTTGAACCACGGTTCAAACCCAAGTTTAACTGCAGTTTTATAATTTTATTGGTAAGGATGGGAATGGTTCGGTTCGGTTCAGTTTGGTTTATAAACTGCCAGTTTGACTAGTGATTGACAGTTTACTGATCACGGTTTGAACCGCGGTTCAAACCCAAGTTTAACCATGGTTTTATAATTTTATTGGCCAAGTTAAATTTAAGAATTTTATTTTTATAATTTTATTGATAAAGTTAAATTTAAGAATTTTATTTTTATAATTTTATTGATAAAGTTAAATTTAAGAATTTTCTTTTTATAATAAAATGAAAAAATTATTTTTTTAAATTATTTTTTAAAAAATGAAAAAAAATTATTTTTTTAAAAAATGAAAAACAAATTAATTTGTTCCAATAATCAAACCACTTTTAAACATCATTACTATCTTCTTCATCAGAAAGTTCATATTCTTGTCCAATTTTTTCAGAAGTCCAGCTTTTTAAGCATAACAAGCCTCGTGATGTTTCAGGATCTAGGCGATTCCTTAATTTAGATATTGTCAATCCTGCAACAGAAAAGGATTGTTCACATGGAACTGAGGTAGATTGTATTGCCAAGTAATCTTTTGCTAATTCAGATAGAGATGGAAAAGTTTCTTTATGTGTACACCACCACATGAGGGGATTGCATTCATTTTCTTTCGCTAATAATAAATATTTTTCTACTTCATCATTTGTATGAGTATTATTTGTAGGAAGGAACTGACTAGCTAAACTTCTTATATGTGCACGTGCATCAATTCTATTTTTAATTATTTGTGATGGTGATGTTTGGTTATTGGTGGTGATAGTTGATGCATTATTGTTATTAATGTTAAGACTTGAGTTGTAATGAATTAATTTACGTTTTATTGCAGTTACTGTTCTTGTAATTTCATCAGTTGTAAAA